TCTGAAACTCAATTGCCGGCATTAAGCACTTGAGGGAGTTCTGCAGTGTTAGGTGTTTGTGTGCATCACAACCCCACACGGTCTATTAATAAACCCACACCCCCCTCTCTCTCTGTGTCTCTATCTGTCTCTGAAATAGCGAACAATAAGTGTCGCTGCTGCTGCTGCTGCTGCACCTCAGACACACAGCAACATCAAGCAGAATGTCAGATGGCTGGAAGAAGGCAGCGATTGACAGTGGGCTCCAGCAGGCATGCAGATTACCAAAAGCAAGTTCTCAATGTTCTTTTGCAACTTTCTCCACACGCCAGAGGGCAAAGCAGGAGTGTTGATCTGATTTGAAATGCTTGAAAGAGATTCTTGCAAATGCCCCGCATTTAGAAGGGAAGATGTGACTGTACGTAGTGGGGGGCTGTTTTCACCTCGGTGCAGAAGTAGGGTGAGGCTAACCCTACTTCAACACATTCATATTTTAGTTAAAGGTCACCTATTGTGCAAAATCCACTTCTTCATGTCTCTTCTACATCACCATGTGTCCCCTCTTCTTCATGTCTCTTCTACATCAACATGTGTCCCCTCTTCTTCATGTCTCTTCTACATCAACATGTGTCCCCTCTTCTTCATGTCTCTTCTACATCAACATGTGTCCCTTCTTATGTCTCTTCTACATCAACATGTGTCCCCTCTTCTTCATGTCTCTTCTACATCAACATGTGTCCCCTCTTCTTCATGTCTCTTCTACATCAACATGTGTCCCCTCTTCTTCATGTCTCTTCTACATCAACATGTGTCCCCTCTTCTTCATGTCTCTTCTACATCAACATGTGTCCCCTCTTCTTCATGACTCTTCTACATCAACATGTGTCCCCTCTTCTTCATGTCTCTTCTACATCAACATGTGTCCCCTCTTCTTCATGTCTCTTCTACATCAACATGTGTCCCCTCTTCTTCATGTCTCTTCTACATCAACATGTGTCCCCTCTTCTTCATGTCTCTTCTACATCAACATGTGTCCCCTCTTCTTCATGTCTCTTCTACATCAACATGTGTCCCCTCTGTGGAAAGAGACTCTGAAAGTTTCAGGAACAAAGATTCTCTCTCTTTTTGTCCTGATCCATTTCTATAAAAACCTGTCTGAAAATGAGCTGATCAGATTTTGGCCACTTTATGATGTCATAACGATGTTTTGTCTTGTGTAACCATTAGCCAATCAGCAACCAAGGTAACCCCCCCCCCCCCCCCCCTTATCACCTGAATCTCCTCCTAGAGCACCATTGAGTTCTTTGTAACCAAATGTCTCTCAGAGGGGCGTGGGGAGGGGCTCCTTATTTTCATCTAAAGTAACAGACAGAGAATCAGCACTTTGGAAACAGGGCTGAAACAGAGGGGATTATGGGTAATGCTGCAATGATCTGTTTGGTGTTTGGAGCCAAACACTTCAGAAACATGTATAATAGGGGACCTTTAAGTCACAAAAGTGGTAGCTGGTGGCCGAAACACTTCCTTTAGGGAGAAATGCGCTGCAGTTTAAAAAATAATGCAAATATAAAAACCAAAATGCAAATGAAGACACATCTTGACTAAATGAACACAAGCGAAACGCTGCAAATAAAAAACACGGCAAATTAAAAAAAATGCTGCAAGAAGCTCAAACACAATGGAAACCAGGTGACACTAAAAAGTGACGCATACAGCGTTTTTATTTGTAGCGTTTTGTTTATGCAGTGCTTTTAGTAAACGCTGTAAAGGTATTTTTTAAAATGGTGCGAATGTGTTATCAAGATGTTTCTACATTTCTTTGTCTTAATATTCTTTCTGTTAAAGGATTTTTTGGGGGGAGTTTTTACTTATCCGCTATACTGTACGTCTTAAGGAGAATAGCACTAGCATGACCATAAGCCATTCTTGATTTAGGTCCACACACGTATCAAACACATTTACACACTATAGCCTCATCATTGCATCAATAATCATATTTCAGTCGTGTCATTCTGAAATGGGACATTACGCATCACAAGTACTTTGACAACACTTGCCATCAAAAGTACTTTATTAGCAGTACCCATATTTACAAATGAGTGCTTCTACTCTAAAAATAACATGAGTACTTCTTCCACCACTGCATGCTGCACAGACTGTAAATCCCCCTGAGGCAAATATGTGATTCAGGGCTGTATACAAAACATTGACTTGACATTTAGGGCCACTAACAAGCACCGGTAAATACATACTTTTTAGGGACCACATGGAAACTAAACCTATAACCCCGGATATAAGCAGCTCGACCTTTCTACATGAGTGCATCCATAAACAGTGATCATTCACAGTGTTGCTGCTAACCAGCAGATGGTACTATGTCCTAACTTCCTGTTATCTAGCATTATTATGTGTACATGGAAAAAGCAGCATTTATTGATTCCTCAATGTAGGACTCTGGCCTTCTGTAATTCCACACAACACAAAAACACACATCTAGACACAAACCACTGAATTTAGATCTAATTAATTGTTGGATTGTGTTTGTAATAAATGCAGCAATTGGACTATGATTGTGTTGCATCATTTTATGTAAGTGAGGTTACATTTTTGAGTATTTCTCAGTAGAACGTAATATAAGTACAGGGCCGTAGAGAGTTGTATAGCATTGTTTATTACTTCAAACGTTATGCATTAAAGGGGCCATATCATGCTCATTTACAGGTTCATATTAGTAGTGTTTCTACTGTGACATGTCTTTAATGTTCAAAAAGCTCTTGTGTTTTAAGGAAGGACAAAGTATCTTGGAGAAAGGCATAATATTGTCCTCCTTTGAGCCACTTTATGAAACCCCACTATTAGCACCTGCTTTTGAACCTACAGGCAAAGTTATTACTCTTCTAAGGTCATGCATTAATTCAAACCCTCATTTACATACGCTGTCTGAAGGACAGTTGTTCCTTTCATCTACGCAGTTTAATCTTTCTTTTTGCTGCTTATTCATCTTACCTAAACATTAAGCACACATCTATATGGATGTGACTTTAAGAAAGGCAAACATTACAATTTGGTTGAACAATCCTTTAATGAATGCTATAGCAGTTATCTTCCTCTGTGTGCATCGAGGAGACGAACACATCAATAATCTCATTACTTGGGTCCAATATTATAACCGTCTGCATTTTCTTTCTCACCTGAAAAGCAATGTTTTTCACTCATGGTGACGTTTTTGTTTCAGTAATAGGGAACACTACTTCCTCTCCTTCCACCTGCTCCTGCTGGTCAGAAGAACACATGTTTCGATCTGTTGTGAAATCTCAAAGCCGAATGCAAATCCTGAAGATGACCTACTTCTTCCCTTCGACATAGACACTCCGCTAAAATCCATAAATTAAGGAAATTAACTGATGGGGCCCGGGGCCACTTTGTAAGCTATTTAAATCTTTAAATTTACAACATCCCTGCATACTTCATGTAATTGAACTAACTCGGGGCTTGTTTCCTTTAATGAGAAAAAAATCCAGTTCCCCCTGCAGGTCGTACCTCTGGAAACAACAAATCTGTGCCGCGAGGGATGATGGGATCGCTCTGAGGCGCGGAGTCTTTCTAATTACAAAGACTTGAACCGCTTCAAGGAGAGACGCTTTCACACTCCCACTATGCTGCTGCGAAACCACCAGTATCACTACTTTATTTTACATCTGAATTATTGACATTTTAGATGTAGGAAGATACCGTAACTTCTAGTATTGAGGAGTAACGGATTACATGTAACGGAATAGAGCTAACTGTTTTCTCTGTACAGTTCAATGAAAAATATGTAATCAGATTTGTTACAGTTTTTAAACTGGGGATAACTAGCAGATTACAATATTAAAATACATTTAAGAACGACATATTAAGCACAGGGTTAATTTAAACATGTAACCTATAAAGAAAATGCATTCAGTAATCTGAGTATCACAATATAACATAATGTAACCGGATTAGATGACCTCAATATCAAATGCAAATAAACACAAGAGAAATAAATATCAAAAGTATGCTTCAGTGTTTTATGAGAGAAACTACAAAACAATGTCACCTTAGAAAATGAGAAATCAAGATATTTAGGTTAAAAATATATTTTATTTATAGGAAAACCTGCTTTACGTAATCCTGTTAAATGTAATACGTTACTCCACAAGCCTCATTACAACACTTAACGTTTCTTTATATATATAATGTATTTTAATTCAGTATGTGGACATGTGATTTATTAAACAAAAGATTGTGTTTTGTATTAAAATGACGTTTAAACTAAAATAATATCGCTAAAATGTATTGGTGTTTGATATTAAAGTAATCCAATGGTCACGAAAGTAATCAGGTTACTTTATTGAGATACTTAAATTAGGTTAGATTATGATTTCACGGTAACTAAATGTACATGGTTAAATGAACCTCCTTATGATCCATCCTTATGATTAAGAGTATATTATTGGAGTATTCTACCAGGTAACAGAAAATAAAAGACCATTTAAAATGCCACAGGATCAATAAGATATCATATGTTTCGTCTTGAAACAATAGAGACCTCTCCCAAAAAGTGAAACTACATTTTCTGTGGACCAATAACAAGTTCCTACACTGGTTGGCGCCAAATATCAAGAAACGAGCCTCCCACCTCTCAGGATGCTGGAGAGTAATTACTGGGCTCAATGTTGCATCAATTATTCACAGTTATTTACCCGCAAATAAACACACATTCAAATAAATAAATAATGCTCTCCTTGGTGTGAGCACCTGCTTGTCTCCCTCTCTATCCTTCACCAAATGTGGCACACCACTTTTACGCGCTTCATCATCACCTGCATGGTGTCTTTCTTTATATGTTTAAAAAATAACAATTGTCATCCAGCGTCTTATTTTCCCTCAAAAAAAAAAGTCTGGAGGCTGACTGCTTTCATTTGAGAGTGAAGGAAGGGGGGGGGGGGTTGTTCTGGGCAATATCTCCATCTAAGCCCTGCGCTATAATTGAAATGGCGCATTTGGCTGCGGGCAGGTTGTGAGGGCGCTTTCTGCAGCAGCATGCATGTCCATAGACGTCATTTGATTTTAATGGCCTGCAGGAAATTTGGTGTTACAACTCCAGACATTAAGGCGAGAGAGGGAGAGAGGGAGAGACAGAGGGGGGAAATCACCGCGTGAAAGATATTGGTTCAAGGATATCTCTTCATTTTCAACATATTTTTCTACTGGGACTTTATCAACAAGTTACTGCGCCTTGTATTGCATGCCGCCTGAGTGAAGGACTATGGCTTTAAACTTTAGATCCAGGCCGGAGATGGAGATGGAAATGTATGCCTACTAGCTGGAACTGCCTGGGGAACTATTACATCAGACGAAATGACAATGATTAAAATCAGCATTTTGCTGCTCTAAATCCATTGAGCGACAGTTGCCTGTTCGGTTTCCAACCCCCTACAACTTCACACCGTTAAGGGAACCCGTCTACTTTAGCTGGGGTAAAAATTAGAAGTTATTATATCTTTGCAGTCATAATTTCGGGAATAAGGAGGGGGTATATCACGTTTTTTCTTCCTTGAGAAAATTGCCTGGGTGAGAGAGTGGAGTTGAGCTAATTGTAGCCTAATCCCTGGCCCAGAGGCACTTGGGCTGCCCGGAGCAAGATCTTTCTTTTTCAGCTCTGCTCTGTTATTTAGAGACGGATTATTGGCTTTCTTCTTCTCATAACAAACCACAGGGGCAGTTTCATTTAGGCAACAAAAAGCAAGAACAAGAAGAAGCCGAAAAAACGAAGCAGGAATCCAACAAGAGCGCACAATTTTACGCGTATCCAAAATAAGAGCACAGAAGAGGAAGGAGATCATCTCATCTATGTACAAGGTAAGGAAGCTTCCTGTGCGCTTTGGTACAAAGATGCTCGCTGAGGACAGGTCGAGCCAGCCTTGCAATAAGAGCCTTTAAAGCCACAGAGACTCTTTCGCAAAAGCAGTCCAGCCCGGCCACAGCCTGTAGTGTGTTTTTAGAAGGCAGCTTTGTGTTGGGATACACAGAAAACACTTGGCTTTTCCGTGTGGCAGCGTAGAGGTTCGTGCCGGAGCTGGATGCTGGTGTAAGTGTACCACAGACTCGAGGGCATTTGGAGAAAAATATTTGAGATTTTCCGGGGTTTTACGCGGACAGGAGCTGGGACTGACCGCCGGCACGGATTTCCTCTGGATTCCCTACGATGTTTGAAACGGTATGGTGAAATTTTTTTTTCACATAATGTGATGTGTTTACGCACAGTGCATCCTGTCGAATAGTCGAACCGGTGCTAAAGAGCAGCGTGGAAACTAGAGGGGTTTACCTTCCCCTTTTCCCCTTTCTTTCTTGCAGTTTTTATCCAGCGCCTGATGAATCACACGTGTCAGGATCCTGATTTTAATTGTACAGCATGGAATAAGACGCCATGTTGAGCATTGGTCGAATTAAAGGCAGAGCACATCGTGTGGAGTGGGATGTTGTACCGGGTTGTTCCCCATTCTAACATTTCCGTGTGCGTACTATTTCTATCGTGTACGCAGAGGATTTTAATATTATTTGGATGTCTAAAGGATGGAATTGGCTACAACACTTTATGAGGGTCAGTGGAAGGAGGCAGGGGAAAGTTGATGCTTTTACGGTGTTTTGTGGAGGAATGTGTCATGTATGGTGTGTGTGATTGTGTAGGGGGAGATAGAGTGATTTAATGAGACAGATGTTGAATGAAATTATGATTATTTGGGAGCTTTATATGCATTTTTCTCTCTTTTTTTGTTCCGATTATATTATACATGTATTGTTGAATTGTTAAGGAGTGAAGGAGGGGGGATACCGGTGTTGGGACCCCAAACTTCTTCAGTCTTTACAAGTTTTTTTTCCCTCTTTTTCCTTGGATTTGAAATGTAATCCCGTCCTACTGTAATCGTATTAAATGAACATGATACTGCTGTAAACCAGGCAACACCCTGAGAAAAAAAGGAAAACCCTCCTGTCTCGTTTTTTGCCCAGCGGCGTTTGTGCTCTCGAAGCCGAGGGGCTGATCTGGCCTTTCACGCCGGCCTCTGGTTTACCATATAAGGCAGGACAAACAGCCCATAATATGCAACCACACTTACTGATCAACTCTGCTGATTTACTGGAGGGTGAAATCCTATTACCCCAATATGTTGTGTAGTTGCACAGTGGAGCTCAAAGTAATATTCAAAGTTTGGTTGTGTGTTGCGTCAGGAAAGGTCTGTATTTCAGACCTAAGCGCCTGCAGGGGAACGGATGAGTAATGATAACACAATGTGACCTTTAGTCACTGATCGTTAGGGAAACTTAAAGTAAGAAAAATCCTATCCTCTCCTGTTGTGTTTTGTGTTGTAGGCACTAAAATCTGTCCACTTTAATGTTGGAAAACAAAACGCTCTACTAAATTGGACCCAAATGCATCCATTGATTTTCCAGGACCATAGGAGTCGTATCGAAGTCTTTAAAGAAGATAGATTTCATCAGACATTTCAGCAGCTAATCAAACCCAGCTGCTGACCTCAGCGTGCACCATATCTCAAATCAGTTCCCCAAAGCTGGAGCACTTAGGTTAACACGAGGTTATATTATATGGCACAAAATGTGATCTTTCTGACATTTTGTCAACTCGTTTATGGAGAGAAATACTTCATGATTGGGCCTCTTACTGTAGACAGTAAAGTGGTGCTTTTGGCGCGTTTTTCATGACAAAACAAGCCATCACATCTTTTGTTTTTGAATGTACGTGTGCAAAGAGGAAGAAGAAAAGTTACCCCCCCCCCACACACCTCATCTCCCACCCCCGTCGTGTTTTCTGGCTCTCAGATTGGTGGTTGGTGTGTCTGGGTGCATCACGTCTAACACATACGGCGACCTTTAATTAGAATATTGCAGCAGCAGTTTGTTTTATTCCCCTGGAGGCTGACACCTAGCATTCCTCCCTCTCTCTCACTGTCTTTATATCTGTCCATCTCTCTCCCCCTCCTCTCTTTCTCTCTCTCTCTAATAAGCATCCTCCTATCCTCGCCTCCGGTGCTGCATGAAAAGATGCAAACATACTTAATTAGAGCGGTGGCAATAATTTCCAGGCTAAATATGCGACCAGACAGACATGGAAGTGATCTGATAGCATTCAGAGAGGCTCTGCTCCACGGTGCACCAGCAGCATAGTGTTGTTGTGTGTTTTTGTTCAAATGCTTACCACCACTCCCATGGCTTTTCTGTACACTTGCTTTCAGGAGGGAAGAAGCATGTCTCGGCTGTCTCTGACCCGGTCCCCGGTCTCTCCTCTGGCCTCGCAGGGGATCCCTCTGCCGGCTCAGCTGACCAAATCAAACGCCCCGGTGCACATCGATGTCGGGGGACACATGTACACCAGCAGCCTGGCGACCCTCACCAAGTACCCAGACTCCAGGTAAGACGCGTCTCTCACATGCACAGGAAATTAATGTATCTTATGTCACAATATTATGACTTATTGGCATTTTAAAAAGTGTTTATTTTGATTTAAATGTGACATATTCATGTGAGACTCTAACTTAACTTACTTACACCAGGTAAGACGCGTCTCTCATATGCATAGGATATTAATGTATCTAATGTCACAATATTATGACTTATTGGCATTTTAAAAAGAGTATATTGTGATTTAAATGTGAAATCTTCATGAAGTTGAGACTAACTAATTTACTCCATAAGACATGTCTCTCACTGCATTAGTTATATTAATTATTTCTTATTTATCATCATCAATTTAAGGATTTATTGGCATATGTTGATTTCTTTGTGATATATTCTTTAATTTGAGACTCTAACTTAACTGACCTACTCCAGGCAGGACATGCTCTCATACTGAATGCATTCGTTCTCGTTATTCTTTTCCTTATCAGAGTTTTTTTGATGTATTGTCATTTAAAAAAGTGTATATTTTGATTTAAATGTGATATCTTCTTTAATTTGAGACTCTAACTTAACTGACCTACTCCAGGCAGGACATACTCTCATACTGAATGCATCAGTTCTTGTAAATAATGTCCTTATTTATCAGAGTTTTTGAGTTATTGGCATTTTAAAGAGTTTATATTGTGATTTAAACTTCATGAAGTTCAGACTCTAACTTAACTAATGTACTCCATACGACATGTCTTTTACGACGTTAGTTTTAGTAATTAATCGTATTTATCATCATCAATTTAAGGATTTATTGGCATATATTATTGAGAATTTGAGACTTTAACTTACTTACTGCAGGTCACTCTATGCATTACTTCTAGTGATTACTTTCCCCTGTTTATATATAATTTAAAGAGTGCATCTTTTGTTTTAAATGTGAGACCTCCATGCATCTAACTTTACTTACACTAACTAGGTAAGACGCATCTCTCATATGCATTAGTTTTATTATTAATTCCCTATTTATCTAACATCAATATCATTTTGTAGCCATTTGAAGAGTGTATCTATTAATTTAAATGTGAGATCTTCATGAAATGGGGACAGTCTTTCTACTTTATGATGGGAATCCTTTCCAAATTAAATCTTCAAGTTGATTTGAATTAGTTTATATCTCTATTTAACAGCTTAATTTAGCATTTTAGTCATTAAATCAGTTATTAAATAATTGAACTGGTGTTTTTCTTAATTAGGATTCATTGGATTTATGCTGTTAACAAGTCATTTAGCTGACTGGCATTCTCACAACTGTAATGTCTTTTCAAACAATTTGGGGAAATGTCTCATTATTTCAAAACTCTCATGGCTCTAAAACGATACATTTGATTGTTTTTCTTTGTTTTAGTCATGATTATTTTTTAATACACCTCCAGGGCTTTTGTTTTTTGTCTCCTTTCATTTGCATTTGGAAATGCAGCTGCTGTCAATCTGGCCAGTGCAGATGCTTTCACATGTTTTTAATTGGGATTTTAATGGTGGTACATCTACAAGCAACCATGTCTGCGTGCGCCCCTATCATAGCCTGTTTATTTGGTCAGTAGATCAGAGTGCTGTGAGGGATCCTTGGAGGGAAACATGACGTAAATGTGTGGATCATAAAAGCTTTGAATCTGATCAAATCTACCTCATTTGGGTGTTGAATACAGATTCTCTGACTAATTTAGCTTTTGCAAAAAAACCTCTCATTTAAAGTCATTATTAGTGTCAAACATAGAGGTTAATTTCCAGACACTACAGTAAAGCATGATGACTTTCATGAGTTTATTCCTATGTTTGAAAAGTTGTCTGATTTTGTCTCAAATAGAAACATGGCTGGTGTTTCAGGGAAACGTTGACACCTCAAACACTTGCTTTCTATTATCTCAATTTGACAGGAAGAGAAAGGAACTCCTGCTTTCTGAGGCATCTGATTCTCTCAGTGTCCATTGTAAGATGTAGTCATCATGATTCCGATTGTGTAAGAGCTGGTAATCCACCCTCCCACTTCATCACGCTTTTAGCTCCATGCTCAAACAAGGTGACACCAGCGGAGGTAGCTCTGAAAGGAGAAGTAATGATCTCTGTTCTCCGCTGATTTCCATACTGTACATTTCCACTTAAAGCTAATGCAGTGTGTCGTTCACTACATGATACACTCCTCAATTCTGCGTCAGCTGGCAGTCCCATGTGGGCCAGCGTAAGCATTCACCAGGTTGTTGAAAACCTGCCAAATTGGCTACAGGATCCCCTTAATCCCTTGGTAATATAAATATTAAAGTCTTGATAATCACAGAAGCCGCTGACAGGAAATCCCTTTTGTTCCTGACATCTAACACGGAAAATAAAGCCAATCGCAGACGAGGGTTTATAATTGTTTCTGTTAATAGGGTGGTGTATATGCGATTATCCAGGGGCAACAAGACAGCAGTTTTTCTAATGAAAAAATGCTAATGATATTCAGATGTTGGAGTAAAAACGGTCAAATGACACATCTTGTGTAAAACCAGCTCTAGTGTTCATGACAATCTTACATTTTATTTTATTTTCCAAATGCTCCGATGCAAGCTTCACATGTTACAAAGACGTTATTCATATGGGGAGAAGAAGAATAGCACAAATGAAGCACAGTCATGTCAGAGCACCCAAACAGTGTTATCACAGAGAGAGTAAAGACCGGATGCCACTGTGAGTGTTTCTCTTTCACACATGCTCCTTTGCCCCCTCTCTCTTTCTGTTACTTTCTCACTTTGAAACACACACACACACACACACACACACACACACACACACACACACACACACACACACACACACACACACACACACACACACACACACACATGCATACACTCTCTGTTTCTCTCTCTTCCAGCCTCCTCAGTGTACAGTTGGCCTCAGGGCTACACTTTCCGTTGGAGCCCATGGAAGGAGGGGCCCTTTTGTGTGAATTAGGATAATGGCTGACAGCAGAAAGCAAAACAATTACACTGGCAAAGCCGCATTGATATATATATACATATATATATATATATATATATATAGAGAGAGAGATATATTTATATAGACGCTGCATTCAGTCATGTCCGGTCAAACAGGCAAAACCGGAAACTAAGTAGTGTTAGAAGAAGTACTCGGATCCTGTACTTAAATAAAAGTATCTATAGTATTGTCTACAAATACTCCATTACATGAAAATGTCCTGGTTATGATTAAGTATGATTACAAAAGTATTAGCATCATGATGTACTCAAAGAACCAACAAATATAAGTACTCATTAGGTCAATGGCTCATTTTGGGTTATCAGGTAAACGTACTTCAAATATCAAAAGTAAAAGTACTCACGGATAAGTTCACAGTCTTATATTGTTATGTTTATTACATTAACCTGTTATACATGTAACACCATCTTAGCATTGTAGTTAATGTGGATCACATGTAGACTGTAGATAAGTGAGTGTTAAAATAGTCTAGAGTTGAAGGAGAAAGTAGCATTAAAGGGGTCCTATTGTGCTCTTCTGATGTTTTCCACAACATAGTGACATCACGTAGTTACAGTAGCGCTTATATTGGCTAGCGCTCCAACATATTGTGATAGACTAAGGGGCGGGACATGTTTAAGCAGTTGACCAATCACAACAGAGCCGGCCAGCTAACCAATCAGAGCAGACTGGGCTCTGGTTTCAGACAGAGGGTGAAAGGAGGTGCTGCAGCACAGGCCGTATGAGAAAAGAGCTTTTTGAACATTAAAGCATGGAGACATGTCCCAGTAGAGACACTTAAGGGACATGAACATTAGTATAATAGGGCCCACTCTTAATGAAAATACTCAACAATAAGTCGAAAATGTACTTAGTTACTTTCCATCAGTGAAACTAACAGAGCAGGGTTAAAGAGTTTAGAGTTGATGATTACTTTTAATAGATTGCCTCCTAAATAATGCAGCATGCCAAGAGAAAGTTAGTCTAGTAAGTAATGTGTGGTTATTCATCTTCTTCTGTGCGGGCCATATTAAGGGACAGGGGTCATGAAACATTGATGCTCTCGCTGCGCCGCTCTCTCAGAGGAAAGTCTCTGTTCAACAGAAGCTGGGGGATTAAAGGGGGGATGTTTCAGAGACGAGGAAAGTATTTTGAAAAGACCACTGGATATTTTTCTCTTTGAAAACGAGTCTTGTTAGTCGACAGATCTGCACGGGCTCCTTCCTCTTTTAGTTACTCTTTCTCCGGTGCTGATAACCATGTTTAACACAGCAAACAATATCTCATCTTTTACCGTTAGCATTCACTATATTACATTTTTACTCCATTTCACTGTAAGGCCTCAAGTGTTGCTTTTTTAACATGGCGCTAACACATCGCTGTGATCTGAAGTCAAATTAGCTGTTTGACTTTTAGTTTGAATTGCTTAACATGAAATAATAATGAGAGTTAATTGTAGCTCTTGCGCAGGAACAGTAATTTTATGTAGCTGCAAAATAACAGAGAAAATGTTTTGGCAATCTGCAGACAGACATTATGATAGCTAGCAACACAACTTGTGGGGATAAGAGTCAGTGACGGTTCAGTGGTTGTGAAATTGAGTTTTCTCAATGCAATCACATCTGGGAATATTGGACAACAAAGCCTTAAATGATTATATGTTCCAAGATAACCATGTAAGACAATTGTCGTTGCTGTTTTCATATTTAATGTAAAAAAACCTGGATGAAAATTACACGTGAATCTGATTTGATTGTAACCACATATTGAACCACTTTTTGAACATGGCACTAACACATCGCTGTGATCTGAAGTAAAGTTAGCTGTTTAGTTGTAATCGCTTAACATTAAATAATAATGAGTTAATTGTAGCTCTTGTGCCGGAACAGTAATTTTATGTAGCTGCAAAATAACAGAGAAAATATTACACATGAACTGATTTGATTGTAATGAACCCTTACCACATATTTAGTAAAGTAAAGTAGTCCTTGTTTTGGAACTTCTTTCCCCTCACCTTTTGTAAAAGAAGCACATTTTCAATCTAGTTTTAACTTCACACCCTCCTTACTCCAAAGCCACTGTGTGATGTGAGGCAGGACACACTCCCTGGGCCCATTAGCGTCTCCAGACAGCATCTGTTCCCGTCGAATCAGTGGTACCTGAACGCCCCTCCACCTCCTGCAGACCCCTCTCTGCCCGCACTTTATGTGGGAGATCTGAGCTTTTCCTGTCCTCAATAACCTCCCTCCTCTTCCTCACTCTTCCTCTCTGCATATGGAGGTGTGTCTGTATCTTCTCCCACTCCTCTCTCCATCTCTTCTCATGTTCTGTTTCTCTGCATCCCCTTTCCTTCTCTCTTCTGATTTCTTTGTCTCTTTCTTCTTTCTCCACATCAATCTGCTTTTTTGTGTATCTTAATTTCTCCCCCCCCCCACCAACACCCTTTTCTATCTCCCTACCTGTTAAAAGCCCCCCCCCCCCCCTCCTCCAAACCATCCAATTCAGGGATTTAACTGAAAGGGTAAAAATGAGGAGACCAACAGAGAGCGAGAGTGAAGGGAGTAGAAGAGAGGGAAAGAAAAAGAAAAACAGGCAGCATTTTAATTGCTTTTTAAAAAAGTGGAGATGAAAAACAGAGTTAGCCTGGAGGGGTATGGTGAAATTCTAGCTGGAAGAATTGCAAGACCATATGAGAAAGGAACACCTCGGGCGAAACAGGGAGATGAGTATTGGTTTTTTATAAAGCATTTTGCATCGATTTCCAGAGAGAAAGCGAGCAAGGGAGAAGGATGGAGACGGAGGAAGAGAAAGAAAGTGTGGAAGCGAGGGAGAACCATCTTTGCTTCTTCACAAGTCAAAGAAAAATACATTTGACGTGATAGCTTCAGTGTGTGGAGTCGACACATCGGGGTCAGTGAGATACCTGATACAACCATTAGATCCACGCTCACTTCGACAAAGTAAGAGGCTTGTAAATGCAGAGAGATGAGTGGAGCCAGCCCCCGCTGTTTATTCACATTCCCACTGCGGCTCCCATCCTCTCCGTCTAATACGCTTTGACAACATCAGTGCTCAGGCGGTGCTGGCTTTGTCGGCCGGCGCGTTATTGCACATAGCTTTCTTTGTCGTACAACTTTGTCAGCCGACGTGGAAGCTGTTACCGTGATTAAGGAGCAGATTACATGGAAGTGATGATAATGACAGCCACGCAGCGCCCTGCCAAGAGCCCTTCCTCAGCCAGGCGAAGCGAAATGTGCGGGAGAGAGGTTACGCGCTTCCATGTGTAAATGAGTATTTACTCTGCAAACGCATTCCTGGTGAGGGAAATGATCGAAATGATGCATAAAAAGCGACTTCTTTAAACACATTTAAGCTTTTGTGACACAACAATAATTCAACAAACCTTCCCCAATAGATCAGATGTTAAAACACTGCTTTTAACTATTGAAAAGGTTTACTTAGCATAATGGAAATGAAGAAATAGATAGATCTGTCCAGTGAAAGAGGGACCTGCAGGTATACGCTGCAAGAAAACCTCACAAAGACAAGTGGAAATGAATATCTGTCCAAAGGTATCTGGAGGCACGGAGCCAACATGGTGTGATGAAAGTTTAAAGATAACAGCAATTCCTTTCTGTCTTTGCCTTGATGAGCGCCTGTAGCCGACTCTAACCAACCCCTTCATCTTAGGAGGGGAAGGAGTTAACTGAAGGACACCGAGCAGCAACAAGTGTCTACATAAGATGCTACAGTCCTGATGATATTTGGAAAATGCGAGTGTTTTTTCATTCATTAGGAAAACAATCTTGATGTGGGTTATTTTTTCAGATGATTTTTATACTTATGGAACAAATAACTACTCAGTGAGCCTGACCTATACTAAGACACTACAGTCCTGATGATATTTGGTAAACGCTTACGTATTACTAGTGTTTTTAATTCAATAATGTGAGAAAACATTATCTACGTACTTTTGGGTAATGTTATTTTCATTATTCCAGCTTTTACAGATGATTTTGATGTTTTTTCAATATTTCTGTTCTAATGGAACAAAAAACTGCTCTTGATAAACCTGACCAATACGGATATATACTATGATATATAATGTATAATAGGAGAACATAAAAAGGAAGAAGCAACATATTTTTGTGATGGCATATGATGTAGAGTCCCAATATGTTGATTTTATTTTATTATGGTGGTCCAATATCACCAAAATATGCATTTGAGTATACATTTAGATTAGATTGCGAAGGAACTTAAATACAGGCCAGTGCAAGAATAGGTTGTCCTCAAAGACTCATGTATATCCACAGCATTACATAGTGAAATCGTGTTTTATATAAAGTAAACCCAGCATGTGATACTATAACTCTGCATTAAGTACAGTCAGAATGACACACAGTGGAGGTGCAGCTGTTTAAATCCCTTTTTCAATTCACAACAGTCAAGAAATGTCTCTCTCCCCTTACATTATTGTGTGGACCTCCACCGTTTCTTACCTCGTTTCATTCCCAGCCCTCTGACAGATGGAATAATAGAGCTGTAATGCTACATTCATGCTATTAATTTCTGTAAGTACAAGCAGCACGCGTGTGTGTTGTTGTAATCTCTCTGCAGAAGGGACACTTCAAACAAGTCTGAAATGGAGGAACTGTGCCTTAAGCCCCTTGTTTCAACCTAGGATGCTAATGCATTTCAAGCTTAGTGCTAATAAAATTGAAAAATAAATGGAGGGTAATTGTTTCATGCATTTGAAGGGAGCTGGCTGACTCTGTTATGTGTGTGTTTGTGTGTGTGTGCGGCTGCCTGCTTGCGTGCATGTGTGTGTGTCTATTTTCAATTTTCAGAATCAGTCGTCTGTTCAATGGCACGGAGCCCATCGTGTTGGACAGCTTGAAGCAGCACTACTTCATAGATCGGGACGGAGAGATATTCCGCTACATCCTCAGTTTCCTCAGGACCAGCAAACTGCTCCTTCCAGATGACTTCAAGGTAAATACCCGCACCACAACACACTCCATTGTTTGTCCGCACCATCAGTTTAAACAACGGGGGAACATCAGAACAGTATGTAAAGCCATCTGCCCAGACATGTAGTTGTGTGATGTAAAAACACAAGATCTTCCACGAGATAAGACACCTAAGTGTGATTTTTATTAATGTTTACCGTGCTCTCGTGGGTTTCATGTTTTCACAATAGACCTGATACCACAACAGAGATCTGTTTTTACAATCAACTTCCTCCCATTCAACACACCAATTACCTGCAAGCATAAGCAGTCATTAGGAAACTATGGTTAGGGTCTCTGGTGGAAGAAGTATTCAGATCCTTTACTAAGTAAAATGTGAAAGTACTCAATTACAAGTAACAGAAGGGTTATCAGAAAAATGTACTTAAAGTAGCAATAGTAAACATATCTCAATCTGTTGAAAAATGGCATCCAGATGTGACTTATTAATATCTATGACATTATCAGAATGCTAATAGTGTTGCTTCAAGTAGCATTTTTCTTGTAGTCTCAAATTATTGATTTTTCTGACTTTCTTTTGTATCTTTTTGTAATATATTGGATATATCAACCTTACGTCACTGGTCTAATCTTTAGAGATGCATAATTAATTTTCACGGACTGACGGACAACTTCTCAATTCAAAAAATGTTTTAGAAATCTAGACCGCAAAATAATTAAAAAGTGCCTGTTTTTCCTGGCCAAGGATATGTTCCTTGAACACAACACGAGCGTAATGTCATCACGTGGTGTAGTGCTGACGGAGAGCACCGGAACACCGCTCCAGCACTTCAAATATTGCAGTATCCATAAGGAGCCGTATACATGCTGCAGTTTTTGCGTGGCTTTTAGTTGTAAGCACAGTGGCGATCTGTTGTTATTAGCATCTGGTTAGCTAGCTATGCTAACGAATTTAAAGAGCTTTTTCTATGACCAGGTGGAAGAGAGCTCTCTCCTGACGGACTGAGAGGCTCAAATAACCTCAGCTCAGTGAGGTTAAAGCACACCTTGATATGATCATTATAGTTATAAAAAAATAAGAGACTAAATGAAAAACAGGTATATTAAGACAGTAACAAAAAAGTTGTTAAAAATAACATTATAGCACAGGCCTTTGTCAGATGGTATATTATGCTGCTTCGAATAGTTCTCTCTTTTTTCACCATACGTGTGTTTGCGTCCCTGAATGTAGGGGGAAATAAGTATAAAGTAGCATTAAATGGAAAAATGTTAGTAAGTGCTCGTATTTAAGTTCAGTACTTGAGTAAATGCACTTAGTTACTCTCCACCACTGGAACAAACACTGGTGGAAAATGCTAACTGGCTAGATAAAAAATTCAAGGCTTTTATTGTCATACGTACATAGCTGCAGTGTAGATATGTCAATGTAAATCTCAGGTCACAGGCTCTTCCAACAGTTAATAATAATTCATTTATTTTATATAGGCGCCCCCTCACCCTCCCTCTGCCCCCCCACCGCTCTGATGACTGCTCTCTCTTAGACAGGAAGTCTCGCTGTGCGTCGAGGAGTACTCTGAGAAAAACTGTGTTGTGTGTCAGTTTAATACCTAATACACTCTGAGCCCGTGTACACACACTTTAATCTCTGTGGGAACCTGTGTGAGACAGATGCACACACTCTGTTTAATCTGCTTTATGAAAGTACTATATTGCATAATATATACAATATATTTGTTTGTAATATACAAGAACCCAAAGCTCATAGCAGCAAACCGAATGCTTCCACGCTTTATACACTTGATTGATTTTGATTGATTGAGTGATACATTTATTTCGAACAAGTAAAATAAATAATTACAAAACAAATGTTGCAGTGCATAGTCATGTAAGAGAAATCAAAACCAAAAACGACATTTACAACAACAACAACAACAGCATTAGCAACATAAACAGTGCCACATCTAGTGTTCGAAAAGGAGTGAGAAGAAGTATAACTTATTTAATCTCACCCCCTTGTCCCTAAATGATTTATTTATAATCATATAGTGTACGTACTGTAGATGTAGATTTCCCACGGATGCAATATATTTTAAGGTCATTGGTTCGAAAAATGTTCACGTTGTGAGCTTTACATGTTGCTTTACAAGTATGTTGAGCAAAATAGCAGTATTTGAGTTGTTTGAGAGCATGTTGCGTATTTATTAGACATGGATCAACATTAGTATTTATTTGAAGTCTAAGCTCTCCTACTAGCTCTGGTTTGGTCTCCACCGTTCATGAGAAATACCTGAAGTTGTTAGTGTTATCTCTCCGCTGTTTCTTCAGATTAGTGTCTTATTCTTCTCAAAATACGGATGCTGAGAGATTTGACTAAACAGTAAAATTGCGTGACAGACAGAAACGGTCAAATGTGTTAACACTACTAGGACTAAATATGTTTGATTTGACTGAAAACAACACTAAGATTAAGATTCAATTTATTGTCATTACGTAGTACAGGTACTATGTAACGAAACGGTTTCTCTGCATTTGACCCATCCTAGTGTTAGGAGCAGTGGGCTGCCATTATGTGCTAAGGCTACTGAACTGTGACGACATCATGCAGTGATGTTGATTCAAGAAGGCAAGACTAAGTCGTTTGTACACAACAGAAAATGAAAATGTTTACCAAAATCTCTGTATTTCACTTCAAAAAATGATGATATCGTATAGATTGATTTCATTTGTTTAACGCTACATTTCCTATACTTGCCACTGGACTACAGCAGCACAATTAGCACAGTCAGTATGAATTGGAGTGCATTACCTAAGTTAAAGGACAACAACAGAGCTTTTGAAAAACCAGGTGATATCTTAGCTAGACAGGTTTGATTAAATGGTTCAATCTGATTAACCAAAACTACTTTAAAATAGTTATAGTTTTCTTCGACTACTATAACTGCATTAGAGTAAATATGACAACAAATACCAAGGACATTTGAGACACTGCTAAGACTAAATAAAACGGATAGCTGACAAAAATAACTCAAAGTAAAACCAAAGACAAGCTGAATGATCGTCCTCTGAGTTTCAAACTATTTTACAAAATGTAAAATCTTGCCAAGTACATTTGTCTAATTTCTAGACAGAATATCGTTACACTTGATATAAGACCTAATAACTTGCGTCTTGTTTTTAGACAAGGCATCTTTTTTAGTCAAAGTCTCTTAAAAACACCTTATTTTACAGGAAAATCACAGCAGAAAACGTCTAAGCATTTCTGGCTCTTTTTGTAACACATTCTCTAATTCTGGTCAAATATAGTTCAAAATAAGTTTTCCCAGCTACAAGATCTCATTTATCTAAATATCCCATCTTTACTTTAAGTGATCTTACCAAGACATTTTGTACTTGGCAGATTTGTTCGCGAAAACGCCTTGTTTTTAATCATTTATTTACTTGTTTTTGGAGCAGCATTTTGTCCAGTGCATTAGAGTCACAGTGCGATGTTGATTTAAAGATATATATCAGTGCAGCCTTAAAGCAACCTGGTTACTAGGAAGTTAGTCTCACCTCATAAATATCCACACAACCACATGTGGCTTTGTCAGAATGATTATAAATTCTGCCTAAAGCTCTTGAAGGGTTTTATCCAGTGATACTGTTTCCTAGGTGCTTTTTGTTTCTCTACTCTTCACTTCTTCTCCACCTTACCTCGCGTGACCTTTCCACCAGGCTGGCACTTGTTCCTCTTTCTGTGCGAGGGAACAAGGCGAGGCCTCGGAGCCTCAGGGAAAAACTCTCCCAAAACTCTCCAGGCCTCACGGAGAGTCTGAACCAGAGCCAAACCTCAGACAACACATGAAAGCCCTGCATATTTTCAGCAAATGATGGCCTGACTCGGTACAGATTAGTTGTAATAATAAAAGCACTTTTCATTCAACACATGCAACTCAAAGTGCTTTACAAAATGACACATCACAAGTTCAAAATACACAAGAAATTCCACTCAGATTATTTGTGAACAACTTTACAGACCTGTACATGCAGCAAAATATTACATGTTATCAGGTTAATAGACACAAGCAGTCAAATGTATGATAATAAAATATATAATGGTTTCTCTCTGACAGATAAGACACAAGACAACTCAATCGATGCAACAATATAAAATATAAAACAAAGTGAACATATAGGTACAACAGAAATAAAAAGATAATAGTAATAAAAATGCCAAATTTCGAATAAAGGTTAAACGATTAAGAATTCAACGCAAAAATAAATATTCGTATCGAAGCATGTTAGATTAATAAAATAATGATTCTTGCTTCTCCCCTCCCATCACGGTGAAGTCTTGACAGTCCAATCAGAGAAAGCATTGGACCTCATTGTTTCAACTCATTACGATCCCCTCGCATAAGCTTGTGTTGATCTGCATACCTTTCAATTTGCGTGAAGCCAGGGAGGGAGAAAAAAAAAATGCAAATAGTGCGAGGCGGAATTGAGCATGTCCTTATCTGAACACAATCAGCCTGCCGTCGCCCGAGGCCTCGGTCTGTTCTGCTGCTGGCAGACACCGCGCTGTGTGCTTTGCTAAATCAATGTGAAAGTCTGAGCAGAATAGAAACAGATATTCTGCTGCAGCCTACATCAGTGGAACAAAAATATTCACCATTAATTTCCCCCCTCATCTCATTATTCAAACTACAATTAATCACGAGCGTGTAAGCAATGCTCAGTCGTGTTGAGGGAATTAAATGTTTGAGTTTGCGTCAGTGTATCGCACTTTAAATCAATAAGGCTTTCTTTCTTTGGCTATTGAATGCTAACACATAATAGGAAGCAGCTAATGTTAGCAGCTAACGGATAGATTTGGTAGCCTTTCCATTTTACAACAAGGAGGAATACATGCAGTCACATTAAAGACATGGCTATAAACAGTTAGTTGTTTGCGTCGCTTTACTCTTGTATAACAATCAGATTGTGGGTATATTCACTATTAATGTCCTCCTTCATCTCATTATTCAAACTACAATTAATCAC